GTGACAATTTTGGTTTTCATTAAACTGTGGATAGAATTTGAAGACAGAGATCTTGAGGTATAGCCAGGCCATTATCAGTCCTGATCTGATATGAAACATCCAGTTCTGTGCAGATTATCTATTGCAGTAATAATTTGCACAGCTTTTCAGGCTCAGGGCTCAGAGAATAGAAAGAGGCATTTAATTTTGCATTAATATAAACCTCCCAGGCCTTTGCTGTTTTTATACTTATAGCCAGAGAGTAGACTACCATTATTAGATCTAACTATAGCAAATTAATGACGAATAACTAGAAGAAGCTAGTGATGAACAAGTAGTCATGAATATTACTAATGTCCTCCTTTCAATTTACTTGGCCTAGTTTGAAGATGCCAATAATGGATTTCATAAACAACAGGATGTAGAAATTACTATGCCACTGTAGATGAAGTGGATGAGCTTCCCTATCACAAACCCACTGCTTCACTAAGTCAGTGGGACTCTGGTGGCTTCACTAACACTCCCTCAGCTAAGACCACCTGGAGATTTGTCTATCAGATTTCAATAGAAGGAAGAGCCAGTGATAGATCTCTGACCTTCTGCAAAGTAATATACTCAGTCTGGACACACTACTTCACTGCTCGAAAAGCTTTTCTTGTTTATTATTAGATGTAATAAAGTAAATCCATCATTTTCTGATCACTGAGAGATTTTAAGTTAGACATTTGTTTGGCACTGGCCAAACTGTGCTTATACTGTTGCCAGAAGTCATAAAAGCATGACTGTTTTTTTCCAAGCTTTATAGTTACTCTGCATGTTTATTGAACTTAGGCAATAACATTATGTGCTCCTCTGCAGCACTGCCAACATAATTAGAGAGGAGCAGTCATATCAGAAAACAGACAGCACGTTATTGAGGAAAAGTCCTTGTTGAATATTAACTCAGTTTGATTTCTGGGATGTAGAAACATGCAGAAAATATATAGGACACCGTCTAGCAAACAAACAACATGCAGATAGAACACAATGAGGCCCTCTGGTAAGACTGAGGTGGATAAGCATATAATGAAGAGGAGTCATTGACGTAATTACAAAGGCAGGTGGTGGCACATTGATTTTATGAAGGTTAATGACCTCTACTAGTATTGAAGTGTACATAGTTTCTTACCATTTAGGTAACTAGACTTTTCAAAAGTCAAATATTAATCAGTCAGACTACTGGATAGCAATAGACTTTTCTCAGTTTAGTATTTCCCACTGTGTTCAAAGAATGAATACTTGTCTATAATAAACTTGCTTAACCAAGAGAGGCAACAATTTTTACTGCCTTGGAGTTTTATAATTGATTATAAGATACCAGCTTATTTAAATATTTACAACCTAATCCTCCTCTCACAGAGAGTCCAAGCACTGTGTCTGAGGGCAAAACTGGGCCCTGCTAAGGGAGGATGCGTCACTGACCTTGTCTGTGAGCCCCAATACATCATGAGGGGATAAAGGTGTGCTCTTTAAGGCTTTTGTTTACTCAGTCTGACATTAAAGCAGAAAAAAAATTGGCTGATAGGATACTACTTTTAATTCCAGGCAATTGTTGGATCTAGATGGAAATTTTCTAACTTCTATAAAAAGCATATAAGAATATTTGCAATGGTTTGGAAACAAAGCAGTCTTGTTATTCCTTACACTCTCACTGCAATTAATCATATGGAAGGAGATTTAGATGTTTAAACAACAGTTTGACTTCCTGAGTAGCTACAAAATCCATTCAGCAAACCATGTTGTGGCTTTTAGTATGCAGAATCAGACTTGCTATCCAGTCATAGTAGAGGGACACTACCCAAAATCTGAAAAACAGTTTGTTACTCTGTGTAAAGAGTTGTCTAGGTTTCCCTGGAGCCTTCACCTCAGACTGTTTAAGAGTCATACCTATGACAGCTATTGGAATGGGAATTGTACCACGCTTAGGTCAGTCTGTGGACAATGTAGTAAAAAACATTGATCTTGTCTCTGACCAGGAATAAAGGTCATTGTAACACTGGAAAAACAGACTATTCCAACAAGGTGCAAGGTACCACTTCCACAATATTGCTATAAATTATGGTGTTTTTTTTTTCCTCCAGTAATCATAATATCATAATTCGATGTTTCACTGACAATAAAAAAAGACTTCTTAAATTCCAAAACTGTTAGAGATCAGGTTCATAAATTTGCATAGCTTTTGTTTGGCAGACCACAGAGGATTATAATCCTTGGTTTCTGAAGATTTCCATGAAATATATGTACTAAATGACTGCCACCATAGTATATCCTCTCCCAAATCTCAATATTCTCAGCACCCAAGCATGAAATTCCTACTGCAATCAGTGAAAATAAAGGGTTAAGGTTCCTTTGAAAAGTCCCAGTGGACTTCTCCATACAACTTTACATATCTAAACAGGCTTTGGACTGCTTGCATTTCAATTTCTATGGCTGCCCAAGATGCTTACAACTTGGGAAAACAGAGGTTCTGCTCCTTTTGCATATCCCATTGTATCAAAACTCTGGATAGACCAAGGAAGGCACTAGAGCTGTGGAGGTTAGTTCATGATGAAGCTCCCTGCTAGTTTCAGCCCTCATGCTGATAAATAAGATGCAGCACTCTGGTTTTCACTGAAAAGTTCAATCTGTCAGTCAGTTTTAGAGCACTCTGATTTGACTTTACACCGCAGAACTCAAACAGAGGAAGGAGAGATTATGAGAATTTGAATTAGATTTTAATTGTAGAAGGATTTCATCCAAAAACAACTGATAATCTGGGCCTAAATTTTCTAAACTGTTTAAGAAATATAGTATAATTTCCTTTCTCTTTGATTTTTCCATCCATTCTTCTAATTTATTCTTTTCATTGCATTGTAAAATTAGGAAAGCATTTTCCTCTCTGTCTCCTTCCCTACTCGTCTTTTTCTTCTTTTTCTTCTCCCCTTATTTGCCATCACCATCCCTTGTATTCTTCCTCTGGCTCTTCCTACTTCCTTCCATTTCTCCAAACAAGAACCACCCCACTTTGATTCATGACTGATGAGCTGCACTTGCCAGCTCCTTTTCCTACTGTCTATTACGTACTTTTTGCAGAATAGCCCGCACCAAAAAGCCCTTAGACTAGTCACAAGCGTAGGGAGAAGCCTGGTACTACAGACTATATCAAATTCCAAACTGTTGGGACACTTTCGCAAGATTTCTGACTTAACAAACTAGAAATACAAAACCAATTTGACATGTTAGGTAAATGTAGGTGCTAAGTTTGGCCTTCAAGTTCTCTTCAGAACTGTTTAGCAGCATAATCAGAGTGGGAATTGAAGAAATGAACAGAGCAGCAACTGAAAACGTGTGGTCTCAGATTAGGTCAGAACACTACGGGGAAAAAAAAGTGTCCCATGGTAATGCATGTTACTTCTTGGTAAATTACTCAGACCCACCGAAAAGCTTCTTGTATAGGTTCATGCTGCACAACACTGTTTTCGTCCCACCCTTGCTGGGATAGGCAGTAGTATGTCCCACTTATACAGGGCAGCGCAAACATTGCCACACTATGTCAAGACATCACTGCTCTGTGCTATATAAAGAACTGCCTTGCTGAGCTCTGCAAGACACAGTATGGATGACCTGGTGGGTCTGTTCGTGAAGCCACAAGGCCACTAGTTTGAAAACTAACTACTAATAGTCAAAATGAGGTAAGGGCTGGTCTAGCCTCTTCTGTGTTTATAAGGGACCGAGATATTTTTTTTTCTTTTACCCAGCCACAAATAACTCAAAATAATTTTATGTTTAGCTCTCAAAATATTCCTGTAGGAACCTCCCCTGGGACTTTAGGAAATAAATAGCTTTACCTGGACCAGCTATTTATTTCCATAACGTTTACTTATGCAATCCATGTGATTCTAAAGTGCCTCAATTTCTCAAGCTCTCTTTCAGTTCCTTAGGGGCAGATAATTTAAACCTAGAAGCATACCCCATGTATTGACAGACTGTTATTCCTAAATATTGAACTGGTAGCTCCAACTCTCTATTCATAGCGCAAGTATTAATACAGCAAGTTAGAGTGGTTTGTGATTAGGTTTGAAATGCTCAGATTCCCTGCAACCACAAGTTCAACTCCTGGCAAGATCAGACCTTTGACCTCCTGTTGAGGTGTGTACTACAATCTCAGATCATCCACATAAAGCCCTGAAATTAGGTCCGTCTGATCAATCTAGACTTTAAAGCTCCAACAATTCATGTTTTGTCAAAAAGGGTTACCCCAATATCTGTGCAAGCATTCTTCCACATCCCTGCTTGCTCTACAGTGTTATGATGGCAGCTGTTTACTGCCTTCTTCCACAAAATTCACTAGCACTTCTGTGAGGCTGGTTCAGTCCAGCTGCATTTTTTGTAAGCAAAAATTATGGTCCTCCACGTGAACCTTGGCATTACATACCAATACAATTCTCATCTAAGAGCTGATGGTTTGTGACAAAATTCTTCTGTATAAAATGCCGTAATCTCCACAAACATTAGTTGCAAGCACTGTGAAATTCACACTGCAGCAAAACAATATTCAGTGTATTCTTACTATCTATATTATACGAAGAGTTTTTCATTGAAGATTTAACATATTTTTTCTAACATTAATTTTTCAGGTAATAAAAAGAGAGAAAATAAAATCTGAATAGAAACTGAAACATATCCATAAACAAGCATCCGTCTTGTAACAGATCCTCAACATGCCATAAACTGTTATGTGAAGCCAATAAATCACTAGATTTATTGTCATTGAAGTAGGTAGCAAGCAGCAGAGCCTAAACAGCAATAAATTTAGCACATAGATAATTTGGATAGCCTGTTTTCCTATGACTACTTCATCTTAGGTTACTATTCAGCATTTTTTTTTTTCATTTAGCAGCACTAACGAAGCTCCTAAAAAAACGCCAGATGCATCGTTTGGGGAGTTTCTGCAGCAAAGAATGCTGGGAAGTTACCAGGGCTATAAGAACTGAGGCAGGAGCTTTACTTAGATCACCTGGAAAGGAGAGAAGTAGTAGAAGACTTCAGATGGAACTTAATAGCACCGGTAAGGTTGTTTTCTTTTGCTGTTGTAGATTCTATTAGATTCTATCATTCTTAATTGTTTAACTTTTTCTGCCATTTTTAGTTTTCTCTTCCTCCCTCCTTTTTTGGGTGTATTATTAATGGTATTATTAATACAATTGGGGGGGGGAAGTGTTTCTTACAATTGTGTCTAAAGTATGGAGAAGTATTTTGCTCTTCTCAGAAGCTTTGGTCGGAAACAATTTTAAAAGCTAACTTTTGAAGTACAAATACAAGCTTGTAATTACTCACGTAAACCGTTATTTAATGACTAAGGGGAAAGCATCAAAATGTATAGTAGTACTGGGAGGTAGGGAGGGGATTTGAGGAGTTGTAAACTTATGTTGATTTCCATTTCTAGTCTATTCATGTAGATTTACTACCAGTAAGCTTCTAAGACTAAGGGAAGTTAATGTGACTGAAGTGAGGTGAAAAAACAGTCAGCTCAGGGCTGCTTATAATCAGTCATGAAAGCTGGCAACACTCAGAAGTGGGAGGAGAAATGGTTATTCAAAGTAGGTAATAAAGGTTTACTATTATTTCCTCTTTCTAAGGAAGAAAAAAAAAAATCTATTGAAGAAGTTCCCTTGTTTGCCATCTTGTGTTCTCTAGAAACATGAAGTGGGTATGGTGCTACCAAACTTACAGACTCTACACAGGTGCAAAACACTTCCAAAGAATGGAGAGCTGATGCCTTTCTTCTCATAGAAGTTCAGCTCACCTATGTGTGATCTTTTATATAGAGGTCTCAGAACATAAGTACTGAAAGTCTGTTGCTCTTCTATGCAGTCAGCCTGTATAAAATATCTGAATTGCCTCATGAAACCACACAGTTCAGCAACTATTAGGATAATATTAGAACACTTAAGATGGATATTCTAATTATGCTTTAAGGTGTATTTATCTTAGGCTTCTTCAGGTTTAAGAAGATGGTTCTTTTCTGTTGTTGATGCAGCTGTAGAAGTAGGGAAATAAACAAAACAGCAACCTTGCCATTGTTGTAAATTTAACTGTACAAAATGTTTTAGGATCAAATTCCGAAGTAGTAAGACTTTCTATGAAATGGTAAGTGGGAGGGAATTAGAAGCTTTTCTTAAAATGATTGTTCATGCAAGAGTAACAAAATGGCAATTAGAGTAAGACAGATTATTGCTTGAAACCAGAATGTCTCTCTTACTCCAGTGTGCTTTCATTTTTCCTATGCTATTTATTCCTTTTGGTGTGCCACAGTTACCATTGCCTTCCACAGTTTCAGTAACTGCAACTCCAAGGCATATCTGCTTATGCTGAAGGAAAAACAACTATTGTAATGAAGTTACAGCTAATAGGATTGCTTAAGTCCTCGCCTATGTGGAGCTCTGCATGCAGAGGGCTAAGACAGGAATAAGTGTTTTCTAATCTCTTAAACCCTTTAAGAATATTCATCAATATAATAGGTAAAATTCATGTAGAGAGAGTGCTCTTATTTTCATGCTTGTATTTTTTCTTGCAATTGAACACTTTGCATGACATCTTATAGTATATGAGCAATGACACAATTTTCTTTCTACTTTAAGATGGCGAACGTGACTTCCTGATGTCAGAGGAAGAAGATTCTATTTCATGCGTTAAAAGATCTCTAAAAAGAAAACTGGTGAAACACAGCACTCCAGTGGACTCAGTGTTCTCAGGAAAAACACCATCTCTTTCAGGTCCAATCAATTGGTCAATCAATGACCAAGATCTCAGTAAGAGAGCTTATGTATCCCCAGTGCCAAAATCAGCTCTAGGAAAATCAGTAGCTCAACTATCATTGGCAAGTGTTGAAGCATACTTCCCTCATATGTCTCCAAAAAGGTATTCAGTAGTATTTGACTTGCAAGATTCCAGTGGAGAGAGAAGCCATAGTTCTCGAGCTGTGTATTCTAGAAGACGACTTTCCACAGTATTGGCATCTGATGAATCAATTGAAGAGACAAGTGAAAAGGTTGCCTCAAGTGCAGGAACTCAAACTCCCACAAAAGCATCTGAGAAGTTAGCAGGAACTCCCAAGAGTGGATCTTCATGGATGGTTTCTGGAATACCAGGAATAAAAGATCCTCCAGTGTTGAAAAAGAAGAAAACTGATAAAGCTATTGTGGTAATTATATTCTCCATATACTGTGAAATAGCATATAGTTTTGTGCCAATACTGTATCTACACATCTTTCTAGTAATAGAAGAATACTGTGGTTATACAACATTTCCACAACTTTATTAATAAGAATGTATGTCCCTGTTCATACTGATAACTTAGATTGTGTGATATCACTCCAGCTAGACTAGATGTGATTTACTCATTTGGTATTTAATTTAGCTTCTGCACTTGCATGTCAATATATGAATGGTACTGCAGAAGTAGTTTGCTTCTCTGTAGGAGGAATTTAAGAATGGGAAGAGATTAGTGGCTTAAACTGGAAAAATTCTTAAATTTCTTCATGTTGGAGACTTAACTGAAAATGCAGGAGTTAAAAAAAACAATCTACTACTTGGCCTGTTTAATTGAAATCATAACGCTTTATAGAAAGAATTCTAGTCATTGCTAATGTTAGTCTTGTGTACAACCCTTCAATTAGTGTAAGGTATCCTGGGAAAAGCTTAGATTAGTAGTCCTTATACAGGTGGTCTTGTTTGATTAAAATGGAATTAGAGATCTCAGCTTCCTGCAGCTTTGATTATCAGCATGGACTCTGTGGCAAGTTCACAAAAAAGAAAATAAGGCAATGGATTTGGAGTGTGAAGACTGTCATGTTAGTGTGCAAACCATCAAATTCTGTTTTCTTGGATTTATCTGTGGGTTTTATTTTTTTCTCCATTTTATTCACAGGTATTTTGAAAGCTCAGGAAGATATGCTCACTCTGAGTTAAAGCTTCTTAGCTTAAAACAAATAAATGTTCAGCCCAAATCTAGCTGTGCTTGTTTTTAAAGCATATGAAGTCTAAACAGGTCAGAGTAACTATTTCTTTTTCTGTAACAGAGAAAGAAACAAAGAGAATGGGTGCTTCGCCAACTGAAAAACATTGAGGAAGCAACTAAACATGAATTAACAATTGAAGAAGTTTGATCAAACTATTTTTGGAAGTAATGATGTTTCGTGCTTATTTTGTGAATAGCAGATTCCAATAAAGTGCACATCTGACTAAACTGCAATGCCTGTTGGGCTTCCTATTAAGTCTAAGAGATGTCAGCTACTGCTTCTATGTGAAACAACATTAATCTGCAATAGCTAAATGCCTGGAATAAAGGAAGGGAGAGAGTTAAGTAAAAATCATTCTTCATCCTGCCACAGTTGCCACTTATCACAATTGTTTGTATAGCATTCAAATCTTCTAGGGTTGCTGATGTTCTTGAAGTGACAAAGTCCTTAGTGGCCACATGAATGTAATCCTGGTTTGTCAGTGGAGAATCTCCTCATCAAGAGAGTAATAAAAGCATGCAATCAGAAATGTTTTTACTGTTAGCTGGGGAGATGAGGAAATAGTGAGAGGCACCAGGTTGGGAGTCTTTAGAGATTACTATCTGATTTGAAGATCTGGTTCTGAGTTTGCTCTGGTCTGTATTCTAAGTGTGCTATGCAGTCGCCAGGTGAAGCAGTAACCATCTCAGATGTGTTTTGAAAGTATGCTGATTTCTTTTTCCTTGTTCCCTTTCTAAAGATGCTGGAGTAGATTGATGTTTTAGCTTAAAGCAGCTGTCTGTGAAGCAATTGTCAAAGTAATCCCAAAAGTATAATGTTTGTGTTAGTTCCTGCTGCTGCATGTAATGTAATCTTTAGGCAGGTCACTTCTAAGTTATCGGTAGGGTGTCAGTGACAGGGACCCACAACAGATTTACCACTCATCCCTGTTCTGATGTGGTTCTAGTACAGGTGTTTACCTGACTGTATTAGTTTTGAAGCAATCTGTTTTTCCCTACTATTGAACTGCTCCAAAGGGGAGAGATCCTGTTCAAATTAAGTTGCAAGCTATAGATAAAGGCAAGAGAAACCATTGCTTTTCCTTTACATGCACTGAAACTTCTCTCCTGACGAGTAGAACCGTGGTCTCTGCCAACCAGGTTCAGCTGTGTTGTGCACAAAAATATAAGAGCAGAGTTGTGGTTCTATGGCTTCCTGCAAGACTTGAGCAAATTTAGGACATTTTTACTAGTAATTCCTGACATTAAGCTCTCTGGTGTTGTTCAAGGGAACAGCATGGTCCTCGGATGTAACTTTCTGTGGCAGCCAGGTTGAGGGGTGATACTGCCCCTCAGGTTGCCAGTCAAAGCATACTCACTTGGTTTGATGTTTAATGTTCTGGCACTTGTGTGTTAGGTTTACACAGATTGTCTTGGCCTTGCAGGCTCCTCTGGTAACTGAAATACTCGCTGAATGTAGATCTCAAGCTGCTCTTGAGGGGAAAAGAAATAGCATGGTTGAAGATGTGCTTCTATTTCCTTTGCATTTATGTTCATCAGGGACTTTATCAGCTTCTGTGACTTGTGCAGGGGGCTGAACTAAGATCAGACGAGTGCAAAGCTAGAATAAAGCCCTCCTCTACCCGTAGGACAAGCATAGATTAGTCTGGCCACATTACCCAACACTTAATCTAAGTGACCCAGATCTCTCTCTTGTTTGTACCAACCCAGACAGCCAGCTGCACTTGTTCTTTTCTCAGGCTTCTTGTTCTGGTCTCAGAAAAATCTTGATGTTGCTGCTGCTTTTCATTCTCCTAACTACACTTCAAAGTCACCCTTGCCTCTTTTCTGAACCTGTTTTCACATCTTCAAATGTCTCCATTTAATGTCATCTCCAATCTGGCCTCTAGTGGCGCCTTCCTTATAACATAGTCTTCTATGCCTGATTTTTTCATTGCTGTATTCCTTTCCCATCATCCTCTGATACTTTGTCAGTCTTCTGCCAAAACTCAGTCTCAGCTGTCATGCCTCTAGTGCCTTAGTCTTAGGTTGACTTATTCATGATGGAAATCATTGGAGGCTGTAAGAAGGCTCAGTCCTTGGCAGGTTAGGGGTGCATGCAATTGGTGACAAAGTCTTGCTCAGTCCTTATTTGAGGTTAGCTGAAATACAAGAAGAATCCAGGGAATACAGATCCTATAAGTTCCAAGGGCAACACAAAGCTTCTTAAGATTCAGGACATGATAAATGCAGGGATAGTTTTCTAGGGAGCAAGCCTGCTCCCTGCCAAGCTCATGAAACTATTTGGTAGCAGTAAAATCCTGGAGACTTCCCTCAGTGGGAGCAAACTAATTGCCTGGAGTGCTAATGTAGAATTGATTTTGACTGGGTCTTCACAAGTCCTGCAGCTGTATCAGGCAGGCAGATAAAACTGTGGGCTTTCAAGGTGTTGGAAACTGCTACTATTTCCTTTCTGTGGAATGTTTAAAAAGAATCACATGACTTTATAGCATTTATCTCAGAATAGTTCCATTCCTCATTGATTGTGAAAAGTCACAATACTGCTGATAGCTTTTCCTGATAAAATGTGTAGAATTAATTCATATTTCATGGTGTTGCTGAAATATTTTTGACGCGTTATCTACAGCAACAGCATTACTGTTAATTACAGATAAGAATGCTAAGGGATTTCAATCAGATCTATTTAGTAATAAACTACATGTTATCCCCCTATGGATGATGCCCCCAAAGAAAGAGTTGTCTCTAGTTCTTAAAAGCCAAGATGTTAAGGAAATTAGAACTACATATAATTGCTATTATTGCACTGCACATATATGTACTGGAGGAAAAAAGAATAAAAGCTAACGTTTCTTTTGTTTACAAGGCTTGCACTTTCATTTGTTTCTCCAGCAGACTCTCAAGTAATTTAATGATATTTAGGTTAGTTTTCTACTGTGATACATAAATTCTCTTTGAGAGACTCTAGTAGTGTGCTGTTTTAGTCTGGTTTAATGCTCATCCAGCAGCAACAATGGTGAATTTCTACTTATGTAGTGAATTGCATCAGGTGCAAAGTTCCATTATGCATATTTATATTGTATAATATAAAGTAACAGCCCAATGTACAAAAACCCTTACTGGGAGCTGCAAAGTCTAACATCACTTTAAAATAGGCCTTTGTATTAGCAGTAGGCGGTGAGACTGGAAAAGATTTAAGACTACAGACACCTCATTAATGAGAAGATAACCTTCAAGACACTATGCTTTGAAAAAATACTATGGTATTAAAAACCTGACCTTTTTTGCATGAATGGAAACGAATCAGAGTTGCGTTATGTTCTTGAGCCTTGCTCTTGTGGCTTTCAATAGTAACACTGAGCATGTTTGCAAATTGGGAACAGCCTTCCCCCTGAGAGTACTCCTTTAGATCAGTGTTTTTCCTTTAGGAACTAAGCTGTGACCTTGACCTAGGGAATTGTTTTTAGTACACTTATTTCTGAATGGATATTGCACAATCTACCTGCTGATAGTGACTAAGCAGGCAGTTGGATGGAGAAGAACAAAAACACTACCAAGAACACAGGGAAGATACAAAAATATTTTCAACCTGGGTTTATGAGTTCAGCCTTGTTCCCCCTGAAGCAACAGTAATGCTCCTGTTGACAGAACTGGGAGTGCTTTGCCCAGCTGGCATGCTGCTGTAGCAAAACAGGTTGAAGGAAGAAAATGTTTAGCATGCGTATTTAACATATTTCAAACTTACATGTAACTGGTAACTGAGTAAATCTTTGCTGAACAATTTTAGGATAACTGGTAAAAGTAGGAAACAGGAAAACTTTTTTCTCCAAATCACAAGATACATTCATTCCTATAGTAAAAACTGAGTAATAAATAATACAGTGGTGTCACTGATCTGTACTCCATAGCGTTTACAGTCTTCCTCATCTCTGTCTGCCATTGCAGGCTGCAATGCCTCTTAAAACATATCAGACTTAGTAGAGAAAAAAAAAAAAGAACAAACATACTGAAGTTTTGACTAAACTTGGCAGAATCTTAGAAGAACTGGACCAGTTGAAGCTACTGTTTATCATTTTCAAATGTAATCAAAAAGTAGACCTAGGCCCAGATACTGGGACCCATCTGAGATACAGTCTTCCCCCTAGAAAACCTCAGATTTGCTGCTCAGTTGTCATACTGCCATGCTGGTGCCTAATGTATCAATTTTGTTGTTGTTGTTATTGTTTTAATGCAGCCAGTCCTAACAGGTTTGCTAACCCCACAGAACCTGACATCAGTTCCTGATTGCTATCGTTCATTCTGGCATTACTCATGCATGTGATCTCACAACACTTAAGCTACACCGGTCATACCTGTCCACCCCGAAATGAGTACAAAGGAGATTTGTAGAAGACACCAGCCAGGGAATACATATATTCATCTGCCTTTAGCTTCAGCAGGCCACAAGGTAAAACTCTAGGAAGTGTGACAAAACATTTCAAATCCCCTTCTCCTCTGAAACAGAACTTTGAAATCGAAGAGCCTGAGGTCACAAGGCAGTAATCACCACCTCTAGGCTTACTTTGTAGTCACAGCTTTTAAGTGTCACCTTTCAAAGCTGTTCTACTTTGTCTAAGCATTTATTAGAAAAGAAGATTAAATTTGCATCGTAGTTCAGTGACTCGTCTTGCATCTAAGGAATGTTATTAGTTTTCTTTAAATTCATATTTATTTTTTAAAAAATGGAAAGAGGAATGAATTGGAACATCCTTTGTTACTCCTAGGACGAAAGAAAGAAGGAAAGAAGGGAGGGAGCGATGGAAGGATGCAGGAAGGGATGAAGAAAGAAGGATCTTTCCTTCCTGCTTCTTAACATTGCTGCATTTTGAATCATCTCTGTTCTCCTTCCTCCATTTCATCCTTTTGTCCTTTCCTAGCTCTCCATGTTCTCTTCTGACTGCCTTATACTTTCACCTCTTCATCTCATTCTTCATCTCATTGCACGTTTGTCCCCTGTGGTGATAATCTTCCGCTGGCAGATACTGTAAACCTTCTAAAACTTACAATTTCTCCTATAGACGAAAAACTAGCAACGAGAAAAGAAATATCTTACACCCTTAAGATAAAAAAACAAAGACTCTCTTCCTAGAACCAGAATACTCAAATTTTCTGGTATGAAAACATGACAGATTTAGATATACGGGGAAAAAAAAGTGCAGGCAGCACTGCGAACAAATTTACTGGGAGAAGAA